AAATTGGCATCGAGGCCAACGGAATCGGAGAGGCGGTTCATTATATTTTAGAATCTGATTGTAGGCCTGAGCTTCATGATGTAAATTGCTCTACAACTGTCCGCAGTTACCTATGTGCGCTCACCAGGTGGTTGCCCACTATATGCACTGTGCGGACAAAGAAGGAATTCTCTGTAACTGGTCAGTTTTGTACGCTGGTACGTTTTGAATCCTTTTGAGCTTCAGTACGGATGGCACGTATCGTTGATGGCGAGCACTTGCGGATGAAACTCCTACCTTGTTGTATTCTGCTAGGTGCTCCACTCGTCTTTTGCCGGTTTGAACTGGTTGTAGAAAATCTGAAGGGGGGTTTGCTGGTACCAGCCCACTGATGATTCTGTAGAGATAGGTTAGTCGCATATCACGACGGCGGTTTTGGAGGCTTTCCAGCTGTAGGGACGATAGCATGTCTGTAACACAGCCTGGAGTTCTGCTGTGGTAGTCCCCTGTGATGAATCATAGTCATTTTCCTTACATGACTGTTCAGTTCCCATGACTGCAAATTTGTTGCAATCGGCTAACTGGCATGTGACATTGTGATCGGCCAGTGACCTGGCCATGAAAGTAGGACAGTCATGCTGTGCTTTCATAGCTTGATGTACATACGTCTCCGAACTGATCGAGTCTACCTGTGTATTGGGGCCACTTATGACGCGTTATTGACTCCAATTGGGACAGCTCCATACCGAGCACTTCCCCATCCATCCATAAACGAAATGCCTTCTAAAATTCCTGAAATGTCATCATATAGAGCAGATAACGATAATTGATGTCCAGTGGTTCTCGCTATCTTTCACCCTTGACTGTCTGATTGCTGTGTCCCTGGTTTTACTGCAAAGTCATACTTTCTGAGGTCAGGAAGTTCATTTCACTCAAAATGAAATGTTCATTTCGACCCTTGATGGATAATCCACATCACTGTCAATGTCACCTCGGACTATCTTGTGGCATCTCGTGTAATCCCTTGAGATAACCAGCACCACATTTTTTCCCTGTGCCCCATTCTGATGTTATGATAAACAGGTGAAAAGCTGCAGGGTCAGTTTGACACAAGCTTTTCTCATTCAGTAGGTGTCAGGTGATCTCCCCCCCCCCACACACACACATGCACGCGCACGTACATGCACACAAGAATTGACACGCACGTATGCACAGACGCGTATGCACGTAACACACTATAATGCACCTCAGTCAGTTAAGGACAGTAATAGTCTGCTGGGAATTTTGTCAGTGCTTAGAGTTGAGTTTCTTTATTTATATCTGACTAATATTTTTATGACAAAGATTTGTGCATGGTGTAATTGAAATCGGTTCTTGTCGAAAATAGTGTATGTGGATAAGACATTGTTTATACAATGAGCAACTATAAGACTAAAGTAGCTATTAAATCTTTTCAGTCTGCATAAATCTACAGGTGCATATCATTGAATTATTATATATTATTCTGTGGGATAAACTTCCAATTTAAGTTTAATTGTATCTTCGGATTTTCTCTAAACACTCATTTAATTGATTTCAGCTAAATGAAATCACTAAATCAGGTTGATGTTTTGTCGTATTGAAAGTTTATTGCATGATACCATTTGTATATGAAATTGAAACCAGTAATATACCTATAGATTTAAAAAAGGTAAACAGGTAAACTTTGTTTACAAAAGCCAGTATTACCCATAACCACACCCTCTGCATAACCTATGCCCATGGACTTCCCTTGGGTATTTACTTCTGCTCGCCTACGTTTAAAAGATGGAAGTGCTGCAAGTGATTATTAAAATGTGGAATGGTAATGTGTCCCATGTGTAATGTGTGTCTTTTGGTGATTTGGCAGACTAAGTTACAGGGATACTATGAAATGAAGATTGACGTTTGTCGAATAATGGGTCACGGTAGTTCAGGGGGATTGCTATGTTTGTAATTGCAGTTACATATTTCATTTTCCTTACATGACTGTTCAGTTCCCCTGATTGAAAATTTGTTGCAATTAGCTAACTGGCATGTGATCGGCCAGTCACCTGGCCATGAAAGTAGGACAGTGGTTTTGGCATGGGAGGTACTCAATGAAACTACAATAAGCGCTGATCTCATGGTACGGAAGGAAAACTTTTAGGGGATCTATGTTTTCCCAGGTTGAGTTTTTGGAGAATTTAAACCTCTTACACATTTAAACCTCACAGGTCAAGCACTAAAAAGACACCTGCAAATAATTTAGAAGATTTACAACAAAAATACGTACATGAATCAAGATTGCAGGCAAAAATTGTATTGAATCACTTAGTTTTAACAACTCTTTATATCTAACTTGGGAAATTGGTAGATCAGCATGATGTGTGCGATGTTTATTTGGTTACCATATATGAGGTCATGTCTTTGTATACACGTCGTTATCATGCGTACATGGTTGTGTTTGTGTTTGCGAGGTGCATAGCAGCCTTACCTGATATATATAATATATATGCGGATTATTCGTGTCAAGTGTTTGCGTAGTGTGTAGCCAGCAGGTACGGAAATTGGGGTGATACTCCATTAGGAGTGTTCCCAACTTTAATGTCATTAAAGCCGCACAATGCGCATCCAAACGCTAATTTCTCCAGTACTAGACTAGCAAATACTTCGTGTCATGCATAATCACACTACCTTATGACAAAATAAACTCT